CCAGAGGGCAGGGGAAGCATTGAGCCCCTTCTCTCCACAATGGGCACCAACTGGAGGGGTAGGGAGTCCAGAGCTCCCCTTCCCCCAATGCTGCTTCCATCTGCTAGATGCACTGCTCACTGTCCTTCCTCCTCTCCTTGGCCTCTCCAATCCTGCCAGAGGAATGGAGGGGCCAGAAAGAGTGCCAGAGCGGGTAGCTAAGGAACACTCAGAAGGCTCCCTATGTGTCTCAATCATGTCTCCAGCACTAGCCCTGCCATCTCATAAAACAAGGGAAATTTACACACCAAACTTTTGTTAATATGGAGTTACGGGTGCAGGCACTCAGTTCTGCCCTGTGCTCCTCGCGCTCGTCCAAAATGTGAGAGTTTAATTTCCAGAACTCAAACACTGGAAAACCAGGAAATATGGAGGTAGGGTTCTCTGGCCCCTACTAGAAGGTTAGTGTTATAAGGAAAAAATAAACACAAACTTTGCACTTTTGGAGAGTTGAGGTGACATTTCCCACACAACCTTAACTCTGCCCCGGTGGGAATGCCCAGAGGAACTGGGAGCACCACAGCACTTTATTGGTCACAAACAAAACCTGACATTCTAAGTGCTCATCACAACTCCAGACCAGGACTGCTATTCGGATTGCCCCACTGATTCTCACTGTTCTGTGCCGCACTGTGGATTTCAGGAGCACTTGTAGGGGGCTGGCAGAAATCAACTCTGGAAGGGATAAGATACTGTGATCCCAAAGGACACCTTAGGACAGTGATCAAAGGAAACAGGCATCCAACCACAACGGGGGATGCATAACACACAGTGCTTGAGTAGCTCCATTTTACAGACTGAGTCTTAGATTGGGAGATTCTTTCCGAGACCGGTGTCTGTGATTTTCATCTGCTATTGTTAGACATTCCCAGTTTGTTTCCCTTCCCATTTTGGTTATAGGCCACGATATTATTACCACTGGTCTGCGGGAGAAGTGAGTTTTGACTTCAAGGCCTCTACATTCAGAACTCTATGCACCTTCTCTTAGGCCTGAGGCTGTTTCGATGGGGGTGGGGGTGGGAGACATCATCATCGTCATCATCATCTAGCATGTCTGTGTACAATCCAGAGGTGCTCCGCTTGTGCTGGTTTATAGAATCATAGAATGGTGGTTGTGACGGGACTGTGGGACCTCTGTGCCCCCTGAACTCTCCCCAGCCTGGGCTGTCTCTCACAATGCCTTACTAGTGACCAGCAGCAACCCCTCCAGGTGCTGTGATCACTCAGCACAACCGCATGTGGAGCCCCACACCCAGCTCGATTGCGTGAACGCTCCCAGAGCCACTCATGGGTCACACAGGGAAAGACACCAGAGCCAAATCCCCCCAGCTCCCAGCACTGAACCTCAGGAATTTATTAGTAATAAATTAACTAATTTATTAATTGGTTCACCACTTTATCAATGGAAAGTGGATATACCCCCAACTTTTGTAAAATCTGAGCAGACTTGCCACACACTTCATACAAACTCACTGGTAAAGATAAACAGTAAAAGAAGTTTATTGACTATAAAGATAGAATTTAAGTGACTATAAGTGTTAGGCAAAAAGTCAGAGTAGTTACCAAAATAAAATAAAATATAAGCATGCTGTCTATCTCTCAACCCTACTAGACTGGGCAACATCTAGATTAAGCCATTTTTCTCACCCCACTGGATATTGCAGCCCTTAATATACAGGTTTGTCCCCTAAGCCTAGGCCAGTCCCCTCTGTTGGAGCCTTCCGAGTGTCCTAGTTGCTTTCCGCATGGTGGGGGCAGGAGAAAGGCCAAGCATGGGTCTGTGTTTGGTTTTTATACCCTCAGTCCCATGTGCTTGGGGAGCACAAGTCCAGGCATGTCCGGGGGCATTGCTGAGTCTCCAGGCAAGGTTGAGCAATTCCCCTTGTGTGGCCTCATGCAGGTGAGTCATTGCATTGCACCTCCCTTGCTGGACCATGGCTGTTGACACCCCGCCCGGGCATTGGTTACTTTCCTTGCTGTTGTCTCTGGGAAACTAATATCTGGCTGATTCCCCAACGTACAGCATGTTTCAGTGACTATTATACAACACATTCACATACGTTCATATGCATTAATGATACACGTGTATGGACAGAGAAATGACTTTCAGCAGATCATAACCTTTCCCCTGATACCTCACATGGCAAGATTTACATATACAAAATGAGGAATATGGGGGTTACAGGGCGCTCCCCCAAGGTATAGAGTGTCACAGTAGGACTGGAAGGGACCTCGAGAGGTCATCAAGTCCAGTTCCCTGCACTCATGGCAGGACCAAGCACCATCTAGACCAGGGGTCGGCAACCTTTCAGAAGTGGTGTGCCGAGTCTTCATTTATTCACTTTAATTTAAGGTTTCGCGTGCCGGTAATACATTTTAATGTTTTTTAGAAGGTCTCTCTCTATAAGTCTATATATTATATAAATAAACTATTGTTGTATTGTAAAATAAACAAAG